TATATTATGACGAAGATGTTATGATGTACTGACATTAATATGACATGAACGAAAATCCTTCAATAAACTGGTTCTATAACAACAGTCAATCAACAAACAAACTTGGCATTAAAGTTGTTGTTATTCAGGCATCATTATCATCATCGTCATCACAGGCATTAATAGCAACAATTTTAAGGCGTAACACCTATGATTGGTGTAATAGATGCGAAAGATAATACGAAACGTTGTTGTTGTTTTAATATTAAAGCGGTTTCTTTTCATAAATTGTTGTATAATAGAATATTAAAGCAACTTATGCTTTCAGCGGCGATGTTTAGAATGCAAAATAAGCAAAAAAAAAAAAAAAACCAAAAAAAACCAAAAAAACAAAAGAAAAAGCCTGCATATGTACGAACTGTGAACACCCATCATTGCCGTTACAATTAATTTACAAGAAATCACATAGAATTTCTTAAGGGACGGTGATGTTTTTTTCGGTTTAAATATTTCGTAGAATAATCAAAAATGATATAAAAAGATGCTTACGGTCCGGTCTGAGTAAAGTCGCAGAGCTCTATAGCTACAAACTAGGTGTTGAATTTTAAGCACACACACACATACATACACATCGAGGTAGGGTATTAAAAAAAGTCGCGCAATGGTCACTACATTTTGAGCTGTACTCTCTATTCGACCTATAAATCGTGTACGATAGAAAAAACCAGACAAAAAATAAGAAGAAGAAGAAAGAATTGTGCTACGAAAGTTTTTTGGTTTTAATAAAACTCAAATATTGTTTTTGTACCATACACCACTTGTCGTACAAGAGCATATTAAGTTTGTATGGATGCAACACTCAAAATGACTTGAGATAGACCCACCTTTTATTATATTGATCGATCAGGTTCAGAATCATGTTTTTCTATTGTCTGCCTGTTTGTCCGTCTTGTTTTAACAGAGCAATTGAGCAATTTTTGAGATATTATTAGGATAAAATCGTGCGCACTGGCGTGTCTTGACCCAAAGACGAACGTAATTGAAAACGATTCGAATTGAATCATTTTTTCGAGCAATTTCCTTATTTTGAAAACCGCACACATGCGTAACTAAAGAGTGGTATACCTAGCGCTTGCAACAATATTCACTTAGTTTCATATATTGTAGTATAAGACTTGGCTATAGATCCCTGGTTAAAAGGCCTTTTATGAATCGCTTCGCTTACCAATTTTGAAAAATGACCCAATTTTTATTGAAAACAAGGTAACATTCTTCGACGGCCTTAGTTGGAAATAACCGTAATTAACATAATGCCTGAGAGTGTTTTTTAAAGTTTATTTTCATCCATTGGAGAATTTCAAAAAAAAAAAAAAAAAAAAACGAGAGAGAGGTAGTATATAACAAATAGGATAATTGAGCGAATAGAGGCGACTGTTTTAATTAGTTTATATAAATATATATCGCATGTTACAAAAATCATCCAATATATGTTTTAGATAAAAAAAGTAAAAACATTATAATTGGGCAAGGTCGAGCATTTAATACCCTATACCATATTGTCTAACATAATTCTGACTTTTTAAAAAAATTATATTTTGTTTCTATATAGAGGCATATTTTTCATGTGCATATTCACGGGGCCCAAAACAGTACCTAACGTAAGACAAGTTTAATCTTTACATAGGATAGAATCCAAAAATAGGTGTAGATGGTTCATGTTTTGTAGAGCTCACTTTTGTATGAAATTACTAAAATATTGTGGGTCGATCTCCATCAGCACATATTAAAATTTAGACTTTTCTGCTCTTCAGTGGCTCAATTTTTCTGAATATCCTTGTTACGATAGGATCCAAAAAATAGAATGAGATGGTTCAAATTTGGTAAATTTCGTTTTTTCATGTTAAATTACTATTACGATATTATTTGTATCGCGTAGCATCGACAACTATATCTTTTCGATGTATGATCTTCAGTTTTTGTTATATGAGAAGGGATTCAAAAATTGCCCCAGCCGGCCCAAAGTTTTCATACCAATTTAAAATGCCGGAATACTACTTAGCCACTTTTATCGAGAAATTTTCAAAATTGCAATTTTTTTCTATATATAATGACTTTTTAATATAAGACCTTATATGGGGAGTGGTCGAAAAATGGGACCGATCTAAACCATTTTCAATAGAGTTCGTTCTTGAGTCAAAACACGTCGCTTGTAGCTTGAACACAAAACTTGCATGGGCAAACCTTAGACGGACACACGGACAGACAGGCTTAGATTAATTCAGATTATGATACGATATAATCGATCAATATAATAGACGGTGAGTTTATCTTGAGACCTTTTACGTGTTACATGGGAACGCGGTCTATACCACAAATGGTGTAGGGTATAAAAAGGAACAGATAGATGAACGAAGGGGAGAACTATAATTGAAAAATTTATTTATTCTCTATAAAATCACTAAAATTAATAAAGAATACCTATTATAGTATATCTATATCTATTATTATAGAAAAACGTCGACTTTAAAGTAAGGCAAGACGGGTTCATGGGAATGCGAAGCGAGCAGAAAAATTGATGCTGTTTTAATAAGTATGAAGAATATTACGCGCACGTTATGCGATAATTATTGACTGACAACTGAATGCTGCTTGAATAGGAAAGTCATTCTGAAATTGAGTTTATGGTATAATAAATAATAACAAAAAAAAATGTTTGTAAATACAATGAATAGTAAATACGTATGAATTCGTATGCGATTCGAGTTTCATTCATACTTTATCTAAATATATTTGATATCGAATGTGTATCTTAGCATGCATTAATAATTATTATTATTAACACTCAAACTAATTAATTACTTATAGTCGCGTTCTCGACTTTCAAGTAATATAAATAAATGAATATCTAATTATTGCTTAATTAATTTACCGTTAAGCTTCATTCATTAATTTCTTTTTATAATAACAAAATACATTTAAAATAGGAAGTAAGTCTTTGATAAAAACAAAAAAAGAAAACAAGAAGAGAAGCAAGATAATTTGGAACTTGACTAGCCTTTGAACATATGCTCAATGAAGAAATCCTGCTTTGTGCATTCGTGACCAGGAGGAGGATTATCGTGCTTAATACCGATTTTCTCAGTTAATATAATAATACATTGGGCGGGAAATTTTGATCGTATTTTACTACCTTGCATATTATTTTTTTTTTGTCAGATCAGGGCGACCCGGTAGGATAATTACTATTTAGGAATATTAGGGGCATTTAAGGCATTGATCTGAAATCGAAGCGACGCATCGATTACCTGCAAAAACTTATACGACGCGCTGGATAGCAAAGTTGTAAATGTTTGCATCCACTAAAGATGATTTCCAAAATTTGCATCTGTATCAAGTCTTTGCAAATACAAATGTTTTATTTAAAAGACGATAGAATTTTTTCGCTAACCTAATATATTAGTAAAAATATGCATATGCATATATAATCTGTAATCTAAATTAACGCAAGATCCGATGTTTTTGCTTAAGACATTCCAAAATCTAAGATAGTGAGTTGAAATTTAATGAATTAATTTTTGAATAGATTTTTACGGACTTGCTTTGAAAAAGCGTACAAGAACGCCTGCAGTGAACTTACATAACTAAGCTTACATTTCTCTTAAAATGAATTGTGAATATCAATCGTTATTAGTAAGTAGTGTGTGTATATATGTGTGTGTGTGTGTAAATGTGTGTTTGTATGTTTAATAGCAAAGTAAGATATCACATGAATCAAATAATGTTTACCGCGTGGTAACCAAACCATATCTTAAATTGAAAAATCTTGTTCCCTATCGTATTCATAGAGCAGACAACCATATGGCCGTCCGTGTGTCCGTGTATTGTGTGTTGTAAACATTCTCTTGGTCGCAGCAAATTAGCTATCGAGTCCAAAATTTAGCAGAAACGTTAGACGTTCTAGCGCGCGGATAGATGTGTGAGCGTTGCGGGTGAACGCTTTGAAAAGTTTGAGTGGCTTGCAAGTTTGTAGGCGCTGTCTTCATTTTTGCAAATGGGATAACGCTACTACACAGTTGCGGAACATAGACAGATGGGCAAATGAACAAACGAACATGCTTAGGCGCATTCCAAATTTGATCAAGAGTTTATACACTTGAAGAGGTGCTTCGAATGCTTCGACCAAATTGGAAGTCGGTAGCTTCAGGACAATGTTTACAACAGACTCTACACTTATAGACAGACAGATAGAATATATATATACTTCGTTGAAGCTGAAGTCTGAAGCTTCTTTCTGGGCGTTGCAGATGTTTTGACAAAATGGATCTATATATCCTTCGATGATGGGTATAAAGATATATATATATATATATATATATATATATATATATATTATTGTGCTCACGAAATTGATGGAATTTGACATTTAAAGAGACGCGCGCTTTAAGCTTCGTTTTTAGAGATTTCATGTCATGTCACGTTACAAATTACAAACTCTTATGTAATTGTTGCAAACTGCTGGCGGCGAAGTATGTTCAAATCGAATAAATTCTTCTCACTCCAATAGCGTTTGTAATGAATGTCGTTTTAAAAAGTTGAATAGTGTTACGGTTATGGGAGTTCAATGTTGCTATGTTTTTAAGTTTTAGCGGCTTCTTTTTATACCCTACACTATGTGAGGTGCAAGGATTACATTAAGTTTTTGCGGATTTAGGAAACATTTAGATGGACTTGAGATTCGGAAGCATTTTTAAAGCTATCTGTCTGCCAGTGCAGTCGGCCGGGTTTCTTGTGCGAGTCAGAATTTTTAATGAAATTTGTTACACTAATTGATATTTTTGGGTTAAGCACGAACACTCTCGAAAAGGGTTCAGATCGAATCACTTTTTCGACCACTTACCATATAAAGCCATATTTTGAAAAATCGTTACATAAATAATTGTTGGGCTGTTAAAGGCTATTTAATTGTGAGCCTTGGCATACTAGAAAGTTTTTATTTGCTTCATTTATAGTTAATTAATTACCTGTACACAAACGGTCCCACTTCCTGTAGTCTGGGTTTTTCACCATTTAGAAAACCGTCGGGATTTGTTACATTAAATATATAAACCTTGGTTAAACGTATCACACCCGGCCTTTGCCAATAATGATAACTTAAAGTATTATTCCACAGCCTTAAATTCTGGAATAAAAAAAACAAAAAAAACAAAAAAAAAAAAGAACAAAAAAAAAAGGAAAAAATTAAAAAAAAAAACTTTTATAATAAATTCGAATATGTTGCAATCGTATAATTTTACCTGTAATATAAAATAATCTAGCCATGGTATTGTGGTTAAAAGTATGCCTAAAATTACTGTAACTATACCAATAATTATCACAGCTAGTCTATCTGCAAAGAGATTGTGTGTAAAATAAAATAATAATAAATTAATATTAGCCGAATGATTTTATTTTATATATATATATATATATATATATGTATATGTTATATTAAAAAAGGTATTATTTTTTTGTTTTTCTTCGAATAAGTATTTTAAACTTTTTTAATGAAAGCTTTTGTCTTCCAAAATGAGTTATAATAAATTAATTATTGCGTTTCAACTAAAGTGGTAATATTTGTTTTGTTTTTGCATTTCAAATTGTCAAAATTTATAAATTAATTAGGAAAGAGTGTAAGCTCCAAAAAAAGTTTGCAACTTATTCACATATTCTAGCAAATTAGCTCTCATAGCATTTTAAAACTAATTTAATGTAATTGGCGTGCAACTCATTAGGTAATGAAAGGAATTTATCGTTTATCTCTCTTTCTCTCTCTCAGTGTTGCTTGGAATCAGTTTTTAGTTCATTTTTAAAATATATAAGAGGATGGATGCCTCATGAAATATCATATCATAATATAGCATGCATGGCAAAGAATCGTAGTTCGTTAAAAGGTGACAAACACAATATTTACTTAGTCCATAATATTGTTGCTTCACTAGATACGGAGTCAAATGCCAACGCAATGGTTTGTTTAATTTACCTCCTATTCCCTTTCGATTCTTAAATACGAAAACTTAAAAAAAAAAAAAAAAAAAGAAGAAAACTTGTCCAATGTCGTATGTCTCAGACGATCGATTTACATCATAGGATAACTCATACATGTATTTGACTTGTGGTATAAATTTTCATGCGATATATTTTGAGTCTTATAACAAGTAAGAAAATTATATTCGGTCATGATCGAATCTCTCCCATAACAGAGATGAAAGAAACGTGAAAAATTCTAATTTTCATATTCCATGATATTGGGTGGAGTGGGCGGTTGAATTTTTTTCATTCTCAGAATAAAAGTGCAACAAGTACAAAACGTGCAAAGCATAGCTGCTTACACTTAGGTAGATAGCCGAACAGGCGGACATTATTAGGTGTATTCCAAATATGAAACTGGCCAAGAGTTTGTATAATTTACAGGGTTTTTCAAGCTTGTTGCTGCGCATTACAAAGGTATTGAAAAAACAACTCAGTGTTGGATACACTATAATATTGGGTAGGCGTGGTTTATTTTTCTTTTGTTTTTTATTTATTTGCTATAGTTTATGAGTAATGAGCAAAAAATTAATTTTCCATTGCCTTTGAAAAACATAGGTGTTCGCAGTTTACGAGGTACTATAGGCATGTCTGTTGGCCGATTCGGTCCATTTTCAATACCAACCTGCGTTCGAGATATTCCAACATTTCGGCCAAATTTGAAATCGATAGCTTCAGTTCTGCAGTTAGAAGAATGTTTCACAACAGACGAACGGACAGCCAGTTAGGCGGACAGACGGCCATGCTTAAATTGATCCAGAATTTGATGGTGATCACGAATGCATATATATGCTTAGTGGGGGCTCCGATGCATGCTTCTGAGCATTGCGAACCTTTTGACAAAATGAATTTCATACCTCATCCTTTAGTGATGGGCGTAAAACTGTTTATGACTTTTATATGAGGAGTATATACATTTTCAAAATGAGCTAAATTGGCCAAAGGACACGTCTAGAACGCCAACCGGCTTATGGACTGTGAACTGTGAACATATCTACTTTCCGTACTTTTCTTGCTTGTTACTCATAAAGTACAACACACACTCGACTTTTATTCTGAAAATGGAAAAGAACCGGGACACCCGGCCAATATTGTAGATTATGAAAATGTATGCATGAAAATGTTTTCTTTTGTTTTTTAGTCTTATTGCGGATAGCGATCATGGATTGAAAAGATCCGGTCGCGATCAAACATAATCCTCTTATTTATTCTTCTTTCTTTACATTCAGATTCGATTGTCTACTCACCGTAAGTAGAGTTTTTGTAAATGCGTCGGGAATTTGCCTGAACTCGAAATATATTTAATTTATTTCTCATCAGGTTGGCTGGCGAAAATTGTTTCATCAATGAAATATTTTAAATGTACAAAATGTTCATTATTTTTATTCCTTATATGTTGTCGGTCGCGTAACATAAATTGTGGCGTCGAAAATAAACGCATTGTGAGTTTTTTTTCCTTTTTTTTTTTTTTTGTTGCTTTAATTGATTAAGAATATTTAAGTTATCGATTATTATTAAGAAATCTATGCAACATTTTGTCCGTTTTATGATTTAATGGCTTAACTCTTAATATTTCACTATTTTGAAGATTATCTTCGAAAGTATGCCTTGCTATTGAAATGTTTATGCTTGAAATTGTTGTGTGTTTTTTTTTTATTTTTTTTATCCCACTCAGCAAAATGTAGCAGATTTCGTAATAGAAACGGAAAGTGCTGCGTCTTAAAAAAAGAAAACAACAATAAACAAGAATTGACTAGAAGCAGTGGCAAAGCTTTTTTTTTTTTTTCTTTTGTTCTTTTCTTTTGTAAAAAAACTTTTATTTAATTTTGAGTTTTAGTAGTAACGAGTGTCCTAAATGTGTATTAGCCATATCGAAGAAGCACCCAAGTTATGGATTTAGTATTATTATGTTGTAGCTATTGTTCTGCTTATGCTTTTGTTTGTTTTTTTTTTTTTTTTTTTTAATCATACACATAAGCACGTGAATTTTTATTAAGTAATATTTAATATTTGATTAATATAGTTTTGAATTTTTATATTTAATATCTAGTGCATGGAGGTATATTGAATCTGTTCTTCGGTTTACAATATTCAGTCGATCAACTTATAAGCTTTGTACCCGATGCACTATGTAACATTGAAGCGATATTAAAATTGCAAAAAAAAAAAAAAAGAAATCTTCTTCTCTTGTCTTGCTTTTAAGCTTATTCAAGATTTGCAATATATTAAAACTGGAAGGGATACGCGTACTCAAAACTCACCATCCACATGATTTCTTTACGCATATCAGACAGTTAGATAACGAACTTCTACTGGGGCGACATTGGTTGCTCTTTACTTTGCGTTGTTTATTACGGAACTTATCTTATTCTGTCATAGTCTTCGCTATATATATATATATATATATATATATGTATTTCTATCTTATAGTTAGGTGAGTTCCGCGAAAATTCAAAGACAATTTGAACACATGCTTTTGTCCATGAATGCTTTAGATATTTTCGATTTCAAAATTTTTGCGTCTTAGGTTGTTCCCACTTTGTGCATTAAAGATTTGAGTCGTTACTTGTGAAAATGTTGAGTCGAACCTTACTTCGATGTGTTGTTCGTTGTAGCCTTCGATTCAACAAGCTCCGATACATTATATAAAAAAGGTAGAATCGATTAATTGCTTACATTGCTGCTAAAACGGCTCCTACGACGACGACGTAGACCCCTATATGATATGTAAATATTTTTATTTAGAACAACATTATATATGTTGAAAATATATACACAATTAACTACACTGTACACATAATGCTGAATGTAATAAAAAAAATGTTGTAAGACGATTATGTTCCATCGACATATTTACATGCTGACAATTACAAAAAGCAAGCATAGGTAATAATTATTATAAATATGCTTTAAGGCAAATATGAACTTCTTCTTTACTCGTCTCACCCGTGTGCCTTTGTATTAAATTTAATACGTTTCAATGCATCTTGTATAAACGCAATACAAGCCACTATAAATATATATATATATATATATATATATACATGTATATATCTCTATATATTTGATTCATTTATAGCAGGCGTTAGGCATAACATGCAATTTTTGCAACATGACAACAGGTTTGTAATCAAAACAATAACAAAACAATCAAAAAGAAAACAAAAGGCAATGATAAAGAGAAGGAAAGATAGACATCATAATCATACCTATACACTTGCATACACATAATATGAATCTATTTTTTTTTATGTTATTTATAATTTAAACATTTAACAAAAGTGACAAACAATTATTTTTAAAGATAATTGAAATAAAAACTTTGTCTATTCGAGTTTACAACAAAATTACTCAACACAATATAATTTTATTTTATTTATGCGTACGCGCATAACACATGTACATATTACAAATTCATATATATAGATATGTGCGCTTTTTTGCTTTTATTGTGCTTTATTTCTCTTGACCTTGTCTGGTTTCTCATTTTCAAATTTGATCTGAGTAAAAAAATGCCGCAACTGATATTACTAAAGTTTTTTCTTTGTCTTTAAAATAAAAAAAAAAAACTCCTAACAAAGATTAAAAAAAAAACAAAAAAAAAAAAGAATGTATTGCTTGTTTTTTTTTTTTTTTTTTTTTTGTATCATGAACATATGGACATCATTCTTAATTCGCCGTTTTCTTTTCAAGGTTACCACCGATAACGGTTAAATAATGAAAAGAATCACAATTATGAAGGCTAATAATGCCATAGGGCGAATTTTGGATACACCACAACGAAGAAAAGTAAAAAAAAAAGAAGAGAACACGTACTTACTATCTGGCAGTGGAAGTGTCCATACACAGATTAATGGGCTTCAAATTTCAGTTATAATATTATGCATAAAGAATCAGATGAATTGTTTACTGACACGCCCTTCCTTTCTTTTCTTTTTCTACGTAAAGGTTTCATATCAATATATTCATTCATATTCATATTCATATCGTTGTAGAGTTACATGTATTGTTGTAAACATACGAACGGGATGTTTTTTCCATTTTTCCTATGTCTGCGAAAAGATGGTTTCCGATTACCATTGCGAGAGAAATGGATTGGATTTATCCATACGACCCGCAAACAACTTATTAATCGATTGAGTATCGTGATGAAGAGAAATGAATCAAGATCGAAAATATTACGTCAAAGTGGCTCAAAAGTCAAGTCATGTTGACAGTTTTCCTTGATTATCGCAGCTTAAATTAATGTCTCAGGTCAAATTGTTAGAGACATATATCATATGAGTGTTGCATCGATCAATTAAGGTGCGAGATTTCGAA